CACACACACACACACACACACAGGCCCAAGGTTAATTATAAAGGGAGAAACCCCCTTTGATGTCCCTCAGCCCAGGACCTGTGCTGTTATGCTAATGAGGGCTCATTTAGAAAGATAAAATGTTAAAGCACTTGCACTAAGTATTTTCACCTTTATCCCAACTGAGAATAATGGAATTTCATGGACACATCTAACATTTTTTGTTTTTATTGAATATACAGTTCCAACTACAGTAGTTTGCCAGTATTTAATAGACATGTATAACAATATTTTTTTACTGTAAATTTACAGTGACAAATATGTTAATTGCAGTTAAACCCATATTGCCCAGATGACGGCAGATGTTTGAGATGTACCAGCGCCTCAGGTTCTTACCAGTGTTTGAGTGGACACAAACGTAATCATTATTATCTGATCAGGTTTATGGTCAGGTTAGGTTACACTGATGACACTTAGGCAGCTGTTGCAAAGCCGACGCGGTTGTTGGTGCGGTCAAAGACGGAGTAGTACTCTCTGAGGAACACGTCTCCAAAGATCCAAACAGGCTCGCCTTCACGAGGGGCCAGGTTGGTGGGCGTGATGCCCACTACGCAGTCATTGTATCCATTCTGGTTTTGTGGGAGGTGGAGAATGGAAATTTGAATCATTGCATGTACACCGTTAAAATAAAAAAAAAAGAACAAAAACATGGATGTGCGTGAACACAGACAGAACGCAGATATATGCTTGTGCTAAGCAGTAACTTACATGGATGATGTAAGCAGAAGGAGGCAGAGGGAAGGAAACCCCACTGATAACAAAGGTGAGAGTAGGCAGGTTGTTGACTTGGCTGCAGTCCACCTTATACTGGAGATCAAGACAACAAAGAGATGCTGTTTGAGAGGTTTAATGTATAGGTTTGTATTGGGACTCTCACCTCCTCTACTCATAATGACTTTTAAATGGTGCAGCTTGTGGACAGAGGAAGAAAAGTGAGGGATAATAATTGTGGCTTACTCTCTGATTGTTTCACCTTTTGCAAAAGTCTGTCTGTCCACCTGCCTGTCTGTCCATTTGTCTTACCATTCCATACTGGCTCTGCTGGGCTCCAATTTCCTGCATGAGGTCACCCAGAAAGTGGGCTGGGGCTGTCAGTGTGGAGGTTCCAGTGTCCACAACGGACTGGCAGCCCTGAGAGCACCAGCCAGTCTCGTGACCATTGATCTGGAATCTAAGGGGCAAAGCACGAACCAAAAGTTTTGTTTTTTTTTTGTTTTTTTCTTCCACTCATATCAGGACACAAAGTACTCATTTATAATCAGGAGATCATTTGACAATTTATGTTTGCAATATGTTGAAAAACACAGACCCTTGAATGCCGATCTGCCAGAAGGTCTGAGAGGTGACAGGGGTCCAGTGGATCTGTCCCTGGAACAAGCTGTTGTCCACTCCTCCGAAAGAGAGCTCACTGCCCTGCTGTCCTCCCCTAAAGCAGACAATCAAAACTTAGCTGCAAGCTCTACCAGTTGAGAGAATTTGTTTAGTGCCAGTAGTGTGGATACATTACAGTAACAGCTTTAGTTTTACTAAATAAAAGTCTTGCGTCAGTGTTACCTAGACAGGTAGAAAGCAAATATGTTGTTGCCCAGCAGGTTTTGAGACATCATGTTGTCCATGACAGGGGTCTCTCCACCAGCTGAGATTGCGGGGTAGGACAGGCCCAGGATGCCGTTAAACTTGACCACAGCGAAGGTCTGTCCAGGCTCGTCTGTGCTCAGTCCAACCTCTTGGTTATTGATCACGATCCCGCCAACCTACAGGTCCAAAACCAACCAATATGATGACACATTCAAAGTATAGCCTGTTGGAGATAAATATAACTGTAAACAGTAATGTCAATAAATGAATGGGGTAGACCTTATCAATAGACCATATCCTAACAATTATTCTTCAATTTCTATATCATTGAAATATTAACACTGCTGTGAGTTCCCTGTGTATAAAAATCCATATATTTTCTGGTCCTTTCACTAATTCAACACTTAATACACACAAAACAGAAAACCACTGCACTGATCTTTGTGTGTTGACGCTTTCCAGCATGATGCAGCTCTGACCACACTTTAGTCAGGGATGTTTTTTGCTGTGAGGCAACACATATTGAGGCGATATTGAAAATGCCTGCTCTCTGGTAATACTCTCAGTACCTATGACTCAGTCTAGTGTAGTCTGCTAAAAGTGAATGAAAAAGGTGACAACTCAAATACTAGTAGTGTTTTGTTGGACAGATGAGGCTACTTGTTTGTTTGGCGGGTTTGACTCACATTGACGGTGTCGTATCCAAAGACTCCATACAGGCTTCCAGCTCCGTAGGGAAGATAGAAGGACTGACGAGTGCCACGGAAGGTGGAAGACTGCTGGGGGTTGAACTTTTTGTGTGTGTCTGTAAATGGCACAGATCTGGATTATCTCTGCAGCCTTTTCCATAAACATGTCCTTTTGAGCCTTTTGACATACTGATCGTTCACTTGATGATAGAATTCATGAGCTGAATTTTAACTAACGCAGTCGCTGATGCTTCCCTAAGACCGAAAATACTAAGTGGCACGCCTGTAATTACACTAAAAATCTAAATCCCATGTGTGTACGCTATTTAATCTCTTGGAAACAAGCTGACAAACTGAAAGCTCTGTATGCTTTGCCTATATCAGCTGTAAGTCCTCTGGAGAAGTTCTTCACACGCAGTGTGCTCTGAAGAGAGTGACATGAGGGATTTTTGTTGGTTAAAGCCGGTTGGTTTGTACTCACTGCAGGCCTGAGTGTTACAGTAGATGGAGTTTACCCACAGGTTGGAAGAGCCAGTGTCAAACAGGACCTCGAAGGACTGGGGGGGTGTCCCAATGGTGATGGCTCCATAGTAGGTGGTCTGGGCAACACGTTGGTTGGGAGTTGAAAAAGAGAGGAGCAGAATGAAAGAGCAAAATCATCAGTTAATAGCTTCATGAAAATTGTGTGTATGTTAAAGTGGTGTTAAGGATCTCTTACATCGGCGTAGTTGTTGATGTACATGTAGGCAGAGCCAGCGAACTCATTGGGCTGGTACTTGAGAGCTGGATCCTGGTAAGTCAGTTCGATCCCTTTCTCTCTCAGGACCTCGCGCATAGACTTGTGCTTCCGCAGAGGGATCCTGAGGAAGGAGGAAGCAAAACCTTCTACTTTTAGTCACTTTTCCTTAAAGTCAAAATTGTTTCATGCTAGAATTAAAAAAAGGTTGTTTCCTTACCTCACAAGTCCCTCAGCGAGCACCACACAGACCAGAACAGCAACAAGACACTTCATGATCCCTCCTGCATACACAGCTCTCCTGGATGGATACAACTCAGCTTGGATCTGAACAGGGTTTATATACACCTGTTTGGTCCCATATCAGCCAGACTGTTATCAAAATTTCAGTCATATCAGCTTAGACAGTGTGACCCTTATAGAATTTTTTCTTTGAATCCATAGTTCATTTGTACAGCTAACATTCAATGCTCCACAAACACACCAGAAAACCTCCTAATTAAACATATTATACAACAAAGATATACTAAGATGTTATGCAATTGGGTATATCCAGTGGAATAATCCAGTGGTGACAATGAATAATTCATGTTTATTTAATTTTGGCACTTTAAGTACATTTCTTAAATCTTATATGACCATAAAAGTACCATAGATAAATGTTGCTTATTATACATGAATTCAGTTAAAATGAATTGGTTGCATTTTTCAAATGAAAAATCTCACATGAAGTATCATAAATGTGTCTGTCTTTTTTCCTTGTCTAGTTAGAACTTTCTGTTGCTTTCCCAAAAATTGTCTGCAAGCTGTTGTAAATCCTCAAGACGTCACTTTTACCACAGTAGTACAATTTGAACTGATTAGATAAAGCATATACTGTATATCAACAGCAAGGTCAAGCTTAATAGTTTGGGGGCAACTGTAATATTTTGCAAATGGAAAATGAATGTGTTATATCTAGACTTCAGTATCAGCAGCACCTTAACCACACAATTTTATCAAAACCTTTTGTGCTGTTCAACTTATCATAACTTTTAATACTGTTTTCATTTGATACCTTTTTCCTTATCATTGTTAAATTAAAGACTGGATGTTTTCAGTCCTTGTTTTTAAAAAATCATACAATCAAAGTTTCTTAACATAAGGACATGCAGCAGCAGATTTTTGCTCATTTGAGCTATATAATCAAAGTCCGACTACTGCAGATGATAAACACTTTATATAACTTGAATTGAAAACCACTCTTTTACCCTCTAATATCTCCTTCATGATTACCTTTTTCCTGTATCTTCTCTCAGTAGCATTGTGTTGTACCTTAAAGTAGACCAGTAGCTTTGGGATGCTCTGATTACTGTGACTTTTTCACAGTTTCTTTCACTATTAGATGCATCAGCACATCCTTATTTGCTCCATGGGAGCAATGACTTTGTGTAGAAAGGACCCCTATATGAACATGTGATGTAAGCTTGCATCCATACGTAATATGTGGAGTGTCCTTTTCTTAGTGGGAAAGCTGCAATGCAGCATTTACTTCAACACATTGCAAGCCAACTGCTGTAGAACTGAGAGCCTACTGAAACTAATGGGGCAAAGGAGAGACAGAGCATGATTAAGAAAACTTGTGATGCTGTGGCTCATTACAGAGACGTAAATACTTCAACTGCTGTTGTGTGCTGATGCTGTAAATGGAAATTGAGAAACTCTGGTGTAGGGATGTCACGATACCAGAATTTTGGTTGTAGGTACCAATACCATTGAAATTCCATGATTGTCAATACCAAACTCCATACCACAGCAAACAACTTAAAACAACAAAGAGTCTGCTAATACACATGTGTGTGTGTGTGCATACACACCTCCATATAATCAGTGTGCAAGCAGCAGTTTAAAATGTCAGTAACTGAACAGTTATTAGTGGTCACTATGTTAGCCTAAACAAGCTAATGTTAGCCATTGTGTGTGTCCTTGTTACAACAATTGTCAGCCTTCGCAATTCACAAACAATAACAGAAACACTGCAGGACATGACCACTAGATGACATGTTGTTAATGTAAAGTTAACAACTCCTGATTCAACGCTTGCATAGTCACTTTTCGTTGTCTGTAACTTGTCCCCGATGATCCACTCTTGCAAAATGTGTCCATACACCAATCATGGTGTTGCTGCACCTGCACTTGCTGCTGTCATTCCACCTCGTTGTTGTTATTGTTCCTTGTGTCTGCCTTCTCAGGGTCAGACTAGGGCACTTGTTAGTCTGACATGAAATGCAAGTTATTATACTGCTCTTGTCAGTCCTAGAAGAACCATATCTGTAGTACCTACTACATCCACGGTACCATCGGTTTATGACGGTACTCTAGAAAAACAGGTACCGTCACATTTTCAGAATTTTGACATCAACTTATTACTGAAGTATCCATTCTCGTGACATCCCTGCTCTGGTGTAAGAGGAAACAGCCGATAATTCACTTCCAACTCTGTTCAAAACATCCACAGTACTGACATATATATGATAAAATTCAGCTAACTTAATCTGAAATATTGCCATTTAATTTCAGTACTTATGTGTTGCTGTTTTTATTCAGCTCCACTGACGTGTCACACCTTGTTAGCATGGTTTGGTATAAGGGAAGAGAAGACAGAAGATGTGGGTGTTTGCGTGGCTGCCTGTGTCCTGCATATGAGACTGAGACCCAGATAGAGTTTGACGGGCTATGAGTTAGAGCAGGTTTCCCTTAGAACAAGGCTCAGTGTGTGGGCATGAATCAATGAGAAATTCCCCTCTGGAGCGTTCACTGATGAAACAGCCATATTGCAGATACCAGTGTTCTTTTTTTCATGACATGTCTTAATATACTATCTCTCATGTTTTTCTAGGCCTGCCCACGACATCAGCCTGGAGGAGTTTGATGATGAAGATCTCTCTGAAATTACAGATGACTGTGGGATTGGACTCAACTATGACTCTGATCCATATGAGAAGGTGAGGTTCTTTGTTTTTATGTTGTTCCATTTATTGATATTTTACCCATTTGTTGACTTATACTCCAGTATGTAAACACTTACACATATAGTATCAATTGCATCATGTAAAGTAGTTATAAGTGTAAAACAGAGAAAGTCTTTTGTTTGCTAAATATTATGTATAATGATTCCATAGAAAAAAAAGGCCATCTGTTTGTTGTTGCTCTTCTGCAGTTTCTATTGGTGACAACTTTCAGTATCATAGTTGATTAATAGCAGCATGAGTAGACAAATGGTAAGTGCAATGACAAGAAAAATATGAATATGAGAAAGAAAGAGAGAGTCTGGCCTGGTTTTTATAGCTGTTTAGTGTTGAGAACTGCTCATTTGCATATGGATATCTTATATAAGAACCTCTGTTGCTTCAGATTTTTATCTTCAGGCTACCTAGCTTACCAGCATTGCAGTTTTAAGAGGCCATAAGCGTCGTATTATAATACCAGGGACAAGATGAGGAACAGGCATGGCTGTGTTTAGGTGAAAGACTTCTGAAGTAATCTCCATGTACTCAGATTATAACCAAACATCATACATACTGGACATGAGCAAACAGGATACATTCACCAAACTTCTCCACGTATAATATGAATTCTAAGTAGCACTTCCACTAAGCCTCATATTCATGTGACTGTGTTATGAAGTATATGCAAATAATTGAGTCATTAGCTATATCAGCCCACATGTCTGACCAGCTTAGACCTTAATTACACAGTTTCTAAGAACTATTGTGTCATCCCCTTCTCTCTCTCTCTCTCCCTTTCTCTCTCTTTCTCTCTGTCTCTCCTTCCTGTTGGATGTAAATGTTTTATGCTGGTGGCGTGGAGCCACAGCTGCAGCAGAGGGTGGGTGACCCAGTGCAGTTTGCTGCTATGCAGAGACAACCTCCTTCCCTCCCTCCGTCTTTCCCTCCCTCCCTCCCTCCCTCCCATATGTCTTCCCTTCCCTCCCTCTCTATGCAGAGTGTTGCTCGGAGACAGAGCTCAGATTCCCTCCTCTCCTGTTCTCTGCCACCTCTCCACTCCCGCTCCAGTAATGCTTTCCTCCCTTGACTTTCTCTCTTCTGCTCCTCACTGCTGAAGTGATTTAGCTCAGGGATGGTTGGTTCTGAGGTTTAAGCTCTCGATATAAATCTGTGCTAGATATTTTTGCTTCCTCCACTTTAATCCACCAACAAAACACATTATGGATAGCCAGCAAAGCCCTTCTGTAACAAAGCTGGGTTTTGCATAGCATGTGAGGAGACCTCCAGAGAGAGAAAGACTTTAGAGAGTGGATTTTTTTCTTATCATGCCAGAGAGGTCATACAGTAGTAAACCATGCATCAGTGCCTTCTTTCTCCTCTCTACCTGCCACATGCGGTCAAACACGCACATCAGACACACATCAACAGGGGCCCTGACTGCTCACTTCACAAACAACAGTGTCGGTCCTTGTTATGTTGCATCATTGCCCAGAGGAAGTAATGTTGCTGACATGGGATGGATAGGACACACACCCAGTTGCCCTCTTAGTATGTGCAGAGGAGACAGAGAATTTCACGTGGAGGGTATTTCGCATGGTGTTTGATTTTGCTTGCATCAGTAGGGTGTGCGACATTTGTCAGCTCATCAGCAGCAGCAGCAGTCCCTCCCTCGTGCACTGCACTCTGCTGATGAAGAGAGAAGCTTTTGGTTTTCATGTCAGTATGATTTGGTCATATTGGGCAGCATGTCTTTGATGTTTTGGAGGAACAGCCAATCTAAACAGTGAGATTATCCTCTGGCCCCAATCCCCAGCTCTGATTAATTCTAATTCGTTATGGGGTTCAGGTCTTAATCTGCAAAACCCTTTAGATCAGAACTTAGCCTTTATGACGGCAGGACGCACATACATGTGAACAAAAACAAATAGACATGCACAAGATGCCTTCAAATAGCTTATTCTGTCATCTGAAGCTGATGGCAGGTAATTAAAGATCGTTCATGGGGTTGTTATCAATGACTGATTTTCTGTCTCTGAGGAAATGGTCATTTTTTGCCAAATGACTAAATGCTTTAGCAGTTCTGGCTCAGGCTATCCTTTCCTCCTATCTGTGATGTCACTGGTGACAGTGTGTTTTCACACGTGTGATTTGTTTTTTTGCTTTTCCTTGGCCTTTCATTTTTTTTAATCCAGTATATAAACATAAGCAGAGAGAACACAACAGAGGGAGTCCCTCCCTTTTTTGCCTCTCTGAGTCTCTCTCTCACACAGACACACACATACACACACA